CTGGGCAAGGCGGGGCGCCCGGAGAGCGAAGAGGCGTTGGGCCGCCGCCACCGCCGCCGCCGCCGCCGCCGCCGGCTGGGCGAGCGGGGGTGGAAAGCGGTGGCGGGCCGGTTCCGCCACCGCCGCCGCCGCCGCCGCCGGGCGGGGAGGGGGAGAAGGAGGACACGCCGCCGCCTGCGGCGGCCCCCACGCTTGCCGAGGGCGGCAGTGTTCTTCTCAAGTCGAAGGTGTGTTTGTTGTTGTCGTGGGTCTTTGGTTTGGTGTGCGGTTTTGCCAAAGGGGAGGACGGCAGTGTTCTTCTCAAGTCGAAGGTTTTCTTGTTGCGGTACGTTGTTTGGTGTGCGGTTTAGCCAAAAGGGGGTGGGGGGGTGTTTCTCTCGAGAGCACGCAGAGGAAGCAACAGCTGTGTTTTATGTAAGCTTGTCGCACTCCTTTCTGGTGGTAAGAGCGTTTTTGAACTTCTCGGCCTGGCCTTTTTGCTTTCGCAGCCGTGAGCTTTCGTAAGATGATTGAGGCCCGGCTCTCGGTCCGTTCTTGTGTGCAGGTTACACGCTTGGGGCAGGCGAGTTTTGACTATGCGAGCCTTGCGAAAGGGCCTTGCTAGAAATCAACCGACACGCAGGGAATGTTGTTGCCAACTCTCGAGAGAAAGATAACCTCGGGTATCTAACTCGTTGGTGTCATGATCTCTTCCCGAGTGCTAAGTTTCCGTCATTCTCCCCCCCCCGTCCCTGAGGAGAGACTGGTTATAGCGCAAGATTAGAGACGCAACGTACAAAGTGGCGGTCTTCTCCCCCCCTCGAAACGGTTCACGATTGGTTGGGCAGCTCCCGCATGGCGGACCTACTTAGAACCAAAGGCACCCTCTCTCTAGATTCGTGGGACATGCAAGGCTCTACGTACCTAATGCGTTATCAGCTAGGTAAAATACCTGTTCCTTACCTCACCCCCCTCCCCCCCCCCGCCCCCCGCCCCCCGCCCGATGTCAGTGGTCAAACGACGAATGCATGCACGGCAATCAGTAAACCTCACCCCCCCGTCCCCCTCACCTGTACTCCATCGGCTTAAACTCGCTCGGACGAATAATCACCCAGATAACGGACGCGAATTGGTCGGACGGCTCGCTCGACCCCGAGGACAACGAGGACGACGACGCCGACTTTGATGACGACTTCGGGGGCGGCAAGGACGACGCCGCCGCCGCCGCCGCCGCCGCCGCTGGGAACTCCCCAAAGCGCCAGAAACTAGCTTGAAGTGGGCATATGGTCTGCTGCGGGGAACGCTCTCGGAAACGCCAGAAACTAGCTTGAAAGGGGGCTAAGCCTGCTGCTTGCTCTCGAGCTCCAATGGGCTGGATGCGGGCAGTTTGGACCGAGCTGCAGCGGCGGCGCATCGCGGCACCGACGGTCTTGTAGTTGAGAGAAGGAAAGCAGCGGCCTTTTGGGAGGGGGGGGGGAGGGGGGGGGGGGGGACGCAGGCGGGATGTTGAGGAACTCCTTCGTTGCGAGCGTGGCAGCCCTGAGCTGCTGCGGTGGCATCGTATTTTGCGCCATGATGACCGAGATTCATGTGGTGATGTTGGTGCGGAGTATCGACGGGCCGCTGGGCAGCAGGGGATAGCCCCCCCTTTTTTCCGAGTGAGATGGCGACGACGATCGTAACGTTGACAACGCCGGGTGACTGCTGGTTGTCCGGCGATTGCGTCGTGGGTTTCTGTTGACGATCGTGCTCTTGATCGTATGGCGACCGACAAAACAAAGTGTCCAACATGTTGTTTTGGTTTGTCTCTACAAGTAGTTTTTTCCCCACCACCGGTGCTGAACCCCTACCTACCGCAAGCAGTTGGTGAGGCCAAAAGAGGTGTTGACTTTGTGTAGTCGACTCCTGGGAAAGATACAGGCGATTGGGCTGACATGATGTCACGTTCTGGGGTGGGCGGAAATCCTATGTATGACGACACATGCGAGCTGTGTGGTTGGAAGGCGTAACAGTCCAACAGTCCAATTGTTTTTGTGTTCTTTCGGTCAGAAAAACGCCGGAGTTAGTTAGATCAGTCGTGCTTACTGCGTGTTCGAAGGTTGCCCACGGGTGTAAGGGGATAAAAATAAACAGTCATACCGAGTTCTGCCTGGTGTTTTAACAAAGATGGCCCGCCCGGTGGCTGTGGTGTGTTGTACTTGTAGGTAGTAGTAGGTAATTTACATGGCTACACGCTTTGCTGAAGTAGTTGGGCGCGGCGGCTTTCCACCGGGTTTGCTAAAAACCTGCTCGCTCCAGGATGTTGCTGAGCAAGCTGAGTCTCGTCTTTTGTGTGCACGGGCACGCTCGTCTTTATGTTCCATCCGAAAATTCGCTCTTATCGTGAGAGACAATGAGCGAGATAAATGATTTTTGGAGCGGGTCGGTCATGGGAAGATTCTTGCTGGAACGAGGGGCGTGCACTCATTCTTGTTTGTTTCCACCGTTGCATCGGGTGTTCATGAGTGCATAAACAGAAACCACCCCTCGCCCCTGTGGGGTTCTTTTGGCACAGCATCGAGACGGGGATTTGCTGTTTGGGGTTGGGGGTCGGAGAAGTTTTGGGGCGTGCGAGTTGGAGTGCTCGTCAAACGATCGAAACGTGTATCTATACCGTCGGGTGCAGCCTTAGTTTGTCATTATTCATGCCAAGAGATGATAAAATTCCCACTTGCTCCCTCCCGCCTGTTGGTGTGTTTCACAAGAGGGAGTGTAACTGTTGAGGGAATCTGAAATCTGCGCGGTAAAAACCGTGCACACACGCAAAAGAAGCGGCGGCTTTCAACTCGATGCTTCTCTCAAGACCTTTCCTGTCTTCGTTGCAGGAGTCGGGAGACGGTTTGTCCGTAAGACAGCCATGACCCCCTCCTCTCTCTCGCTCGCTCGCTCCCCTCTCTCCCCTTTGTGGGAGTTTTTGTCAGCGGGTTTTCCAAGAGGCCGGCGACGATGCCTCGTGTCACGCTAGGCTACCGCCGGCTGCGCTTGAATCATTGCTTGGACATGGTCTCTTTTCAGGTCAGGCATGGCCGTTTAAACGCAGGCGCACTTTAACGCTGGAACAAACGAGGACCGAGCAAGGTAGGCGAACCCCCCCCCTCAAACTGCCGCTTAGTTGCTGGTCAGACGACGAGAAGCAGAGTGGTGTTCGGATGATCTAACGTCACACTTGGTTGAATGGCGATGGCGATGATGAAACGGCAAAGCGAAAACACGACATTTTAGATAGCCAGCACCGGTCTTGGTGTGTGTACCCGCGAAATTCCCATCGAGTTCCTGGATTGCAACTGCAAAGTGCGAGCCACGACAGCCCGTGCACGTTAATATAGATACGCGGGGTATATACTACAATCGCAGCGGTGCCGCGCAAGGGATGAGTAAGGCGCCGAGCACCAAACTTCAAGAAGAGATACCTATGTCATGGTTGATTGTGTCACAAGATGGGGTTGCCACGCACAAAGCCAACGCAACGTAACCGTAGCCCCCCCTCTCCCAGCCCCGTTCGGCTCGTCCCCGCCGTTGCCACTTTCTCTTCCAGCCGTAACGCGTACAACCCCCCCGTGATGGTCGACGCGTAAAAGACGGGGCCCCCGGTCCTCGAGTCGCGCTGAATGGCAAGGCCGGTGTACCCGCCACACTCGGGTTCTACGTGATCTACGAGAATGCTTCCTGAGAACATGTCATCGAAAGGGATGGGTTGTTCGAAAAGCGCGGGTGGTGGTGGTGGTGTACGGTCAAGGCGGCCTCTTTGTGGACGAAGCCGCCGCTGATCAATGATGGGGATATCCCGTGAAGGCAGGACGGCTTGTCGCTGTGAAGAAAACCACGCCCAACAACAATTGAGCATTTGCAGTTTGCGAAGAATCTCCGACCTAAACGCTCAACCTTTCTGCCCCAAGGGTTTTCTACGCGGGGTTGCTTCGGATTAAACGACGACGTATTCTATATACGTTAAAGTGTTTCCCTCGAACGATCTCCGCTACTGCTCACGGCTGGAACAACCAGACCCTTTGCCGGGCCACACGCCACTTTTGTGCGCACCCTTACGGCCGGGTATAGAGGCGTCCTGGCGGTTTTCGTACGGAATCACAAATGACGCCTGCAGGAGGGGGTTACTGTGGTGGGGGCTAGAGAGGGACATTGGAAGTCAGCCGAAGAAGCCGCGGAGCAAGCCTCACCATTCGGAGCCCGCGCCGACAAGAGCGCGCGCCGCGTGTCTAGTCAAATGAACGACAAAGACCGGAACGGAAGCGACATGGTAACAGACAAACACAAGCGCTGTCTTTCTCGAGAATACAAATACTGTAGCGCCCGCATTCAAGAACTCAGCGGTTAACGAACTTCACAGTCAACATCTTATCAAACATTGGAACTTGGGCACCATTTATGAGCCCGGTCGAGAACCCTTACATTAAAATGTCTGTGTCCGTCACGTTTGTAGCCCACAAGAAGAGGAACCAAGGACCCCAGCCCCGGCCAAAACTATTGAGGTGCTTAATGTGCGGGCGCATTCTGTAGACGGTGTAGACGATGCGCACACCGCAATATCCGCGGATGATGATGATAGTTGATCCACCCACCGTCAGCAAGGTCGTAGATCTTGACAGTCCCGTCCTTCGAAGCCGTAGCGATCATCCCGCGGGAGGAAGGAGCGGACAGTGAAGGCCATGGGGCGGGCGACAAACCATAGCCGCCCTCTCGTGCCCCACTTCCGCCATCTCCCCCTTCCTTCGAAGTTACAAACACGCAGGCGGTGGTGTCCTGAGTGTGCCCGGTGTACTCCCTCACGGGAATTCCCGGGCTCCGCAGGTCCCATAGCTGGAAGAACGCCGTGCACGCGAGAAATACGGCGGGCGCGTGTGGAAACTACTGCGATGCGTGTTGTTGTTTCGTGGGAGCTCATGTTCGTCAGGTGGCCCCGATCTCGTTCATGTCGTAATTGGAGGAGGCAAGCGAGGGAAAGCGAGGGTCGGTGCAAGATAAACTGCTGCGGCGTAAACAGTAAAAACCACATCTCGAACGAAGCACACCCGATATCAAGTACATCACCTCTAGTTTGGGACACAAAATGCCCAAGGTAGCATCATACGAGACCAGCTCTAGGCCGATGACAAACCGATGCAGTTTGGGTCACAGAGCCACCAAGATAGCACCGAAAGAGATGCACGTTAGACAGACGGTAAGCAGGTGCCGATGGCATCGACATTTGCTTGGGGTCGGGACGAAGCTCATCTCCAATGATGCTATCTTGGCCATTGTGTGTCCCAAACTCGAGGTGCAATTGTTGGTTGCAGTATTATAGTCGATCCAACGCGATCTCCGGGAAAGACAGCCCTGATCCCAGGAAAATGGCTACTCTGGGGGTAAACTCCGAGTTTGTGGCTTGACAGCTAATTGACGGACTCCGGCATTTGTTGAAATCACGATGACTGTCTGCGGCTGGCTGGTAGTCCAGTCAGCTGGCTGATAGTCATCGTGATTTCAACATTCGGCAAGGGCTGCGGTCACGAAGCCCGGGTCGCGCTGCATCGAGAGTAATGCCAAACACCTCACCCTAGCGTAGCGTAGTGTCAAACGACCAACGTTGATGCCAAGCAACCCCCTCTTGCTCACAAGCAGGGTACTCCTTGGTATGGTTGAGAAGAAACAACGGTAAAGAGAAAGGAAAGGCCATGTCAATGGACGTCACACGGAGACAGACCCGACGCGCATTTGGGTGCAACGAAGAGAGTTGCTGTGCATTACCGAGCTAGCTGTGGACTGTCGTGGCGGGATTTTCAACAACTCTGTCTGTCGTGTTGCACACGGAACACACGCTCACCTTCGTTTCACACCCAGCGCCGTTAAAGCCCTTGCAAGACGTGAGCACCTGATGACCGTCACTCGAAACGTCGAGGAAAAGCTGCGCAATCAACCAAGGCAAGAGGCGTGCGGCTGTGCCATAAGGTATTGATGTGCTTGCCTACAGTCTCGAGGTGGCCATCTGCTTAAGCAACTACACCGGCGGGAGAAGCTGGGCTTCACTCGTATCATGTAGGTAGGACCGAGGGGGGAATTATCGGAAGCTGGCGAGACACCACTTCCTAGAAGTATCTCCCCCTCCCTCCCTCCCTCCCTCCCTCTTGTAGGAACAGTAGAGGACGCGTGGCCAATGGTCTAACAACTATGGCAGTATCCCCCCCCCCCCCCCTCCCCCCATGCTCCGTCTCGAAAGGGACGCGTGGTCAATGGTCAAATTACTTCCGCAAACAACAAAAGAAGACCCCCCCCCCCCCCCCCCCCCCCCCCCCCCT